CCACAGCTCCTCCACCAGCTGGGAGCTCCGCATAGAACAAAGCTGGGGGACGTAGCCGAGGGGAGACAGCTGGGCCAGGCCCGGGTGAAGTGGAGTTCAGGCCTCGTCAGTCACAGCTCCTCCCCGCAGCGGCCATGGGGCCTCGGCTGTGCGCGAGGCGCACAGGAACGCACCAAGGAGAGGGCCCAGCTGGGGGCTGCCAGCATGGCCATCGGGCTGGAGGGACATGGAATGGCTGGGCCAAGAGGGAACACTCAACTGGGCAGCAGTGGGACCTCCCTGCCCTGCCCAGGATGGGGAGGCAGCACCTGCGACCCCCCAGCCAGCCCTGCTGCCTGCAGTGAGAAGCTGAGAGCACATCTCCAGTGAGCATCAAGCTCCTGTGCAGAGGATCTGCTCCCCAACCCTTCAGCAGCTGTCAGGAGAAGCACCACAGAACAGGATCCCCCTTCCTCACTCCAGCTGCAGAGCACTCAGAGACACTGGTGCCATGAAAGAGCTGGGTCAGGAGGTGCTTTGGGAAACTGGAACCATCTGTCCCGCAGAGCTCATCCCCCACCTCCCTACTGCCCTGGCCCCCCTTCCTGGGGAGCTGCTCACCTGAGAGTACAAGTCTGACCTCACTGACATAGTCAGAGCACATGCACAGCTTACCAATATGCCAGCTCCATGCTGGCTGTCATTACTGGGGTGCAGCCCTGTACCCACACCCAGTGTGCCTGTGCCATGCCTGAGATTGGCCGTCAGCCTTCTCCAGCATTGCAGATGGAAATGCACCTGATACCAATCAGCTGCCACGGTGACTGGAATAGGCAAGATGTGGCAAATTAAGACTTTCCTTCAAAATTAACTACTTCTCACTCTGAAAGTAACTCAAATGCACATCAGCTGCTTTAATGACTGCACAGCAACACACCCTGCTGCAGAGTGAGATAGTGGCTTCAGGCTCCTCAGTCTAGGGGCTCTGGTGCTTCCAGAACAGCCTCACTTCCCCACCTTAACTATCTTCCAACGGGTGCCATCCCAAGGAATACCCAGGGGAAGTACCCAGCTTGTGTCACAAGACCTGGGTCAGGTTTTGGGAACAGGGCAGCAATAGATGAGCTCTCACTATCATGTAGTGCAGCACCACCTCCCTGGCTGCTCTCTGGCACCCAGAGCCATCTCCTGGCAAGGTGCCTGGTGAAGCCAGCAGCCCAGTATCAGAGCCAGACATGGCTGTGCAGCCAGGACGAGGCACACCATGTATCCGGTGCTCTACCTCCCCATCTTGCAGTGGGACTGTCTGTGGATCACCAGTCCAACACAAACCCGGCCAATACAAGCTCACAAAGGGTCCAAGAGAGGTCACGTAACTCGTGCAACCAGGACTGGAGCCCTGCACCTGGTCCTTGTCTCCCTTGCATGAGAGATGCTAAACTGGAACCTAGAGAAAAGCCACAGGAAAAGCCACAACACTGTTACCTGCTGGAGCAGGTAGGAGTGTTGGCTCCATTTGGGGCTGCTGGACACTTTGCTTTGTGCTCCGCCACTGTGTGCAGAGGGAGGGAGGCCGTGGTTGGCACGCCCCCAGTCCCAGCTCCCTGCCCAAAGACCGCTGAAGTCCCATGTGTGCAATCCCCTGGGATGGGGCTGGCTGACTGCCTGTGGGCAGCCCACGCTTGGCAGGGCCCAGCACGAGCCCC